GACCAGGAGTAGTCAGCATGATTTTACAAGGGGGAGGCAGGAGGGGAAAAAAAAAAATATATCATGCTTCACCAACCTGACAGTCTTCTACAGCAAGAAGATTGGCTTGGTAGATAGTTGATGGGAAAGTAGACGTTGTTTATCTCTGCTTCAGTCTTTGTCTTTTGGCACTGTCTCCCATAACATCCTTATGGATGAGACGATAAAGTAGGGGCTAGGTAAGCAGACTGAAAATTGGCTCAACTCCTAGGCTCAGAGGATTGTGATCAGCAGCTCAAAATCCAGCTGAAGGCCAGTCACTAGTCATGTCCCCCAAGGGTAGATAACTGTGCCAATACTGTTGACACATAGTTATGTGCCAGCACAGTTCATTAATGACATGAATAATGGGGCAGAGTGCAACCTCAACAAGTGTACAAGTGATACAAAAGTGGGAGGAGTGGGTGATACAGACTGTTGTACTACCAGTCAGAAGAACCTCAACAAGCTGGAGAAAGTGGCTGACAGGAACTGAGGAAAGTTCAGCAAAGGGAAATGCCAAGTCTTCCACCTAGGGAGGAACAACCCCATGCACCGGTACAGGCTGGGGGCTGGCCAGCTGGAGAGCAACCTCACAGAAAAGCAGCTGGGGGTCCTGGTGGACAAAAAGCTGAACATGAGCCAGGAAAGCGTCCTTGCAGCAAAGGTTAACAGTAGCCTGGGTTGCATTAGGTAGAGTGTCACTAGGTTGAGGGAAGCGATCCTCCTTTTCTGCTCAGCACTGGTGAGGCCACTCCTGGAGCGCTGCATTTAGTTCTGGGCTCCCCAGTACAAAACAGACACAGATATACTGCAGCGAGTCCAGCAAAGGGCCACAAAGATGAATAAGGGACTAGAGCATCTGTTATACAAGAAGAGGCTGAGAGAGCTGAAACTGTTCAGTCTGGAAAGAGAAGGCTGAGGGGAGAAAGCTTATCAACATTTACACTCTCCCATCGGGTATTTCTAAAGTCGACAGAGCCAGAGTCTTCTCAGCGGTGCTCAGTGACAGGAAAGATCACAAAACTGAAGCACAAGAAATTCCATCTGAACATAGGAACATACTTTTTCCACTGTAAGAGCAGCTGAAAGCTGGAACAGATTTCCCAGAGAGGTTCAGACTCTCTGTCCTTAGAGATGTTCAAAATCTGACTCAATATGGTCATGGGCACTCTGCTCTAGTTAACACTACTTAAGCAGGGGAACAGGACCGGATGATCTCCAGAGATCCCTTCCAACCCATGCTACTCTAATTCTGCAACTTGAAATATTTTTGCTGCCTACCAGCCAAACTGGCACTTCTGCCAAACAGATATTTTCACACTGGACTGATCTTCTACATAACCAGTAAACCATTCTGATCAGTCATTGCTTAATCAAGACAATAGTGAAACAATTACAGGTTGGGAACCTTAATGATTCTGTATCATTTTGTGTTTCACACTTGAGGTGAGTAGAAAAGATAGCATTTTAAAGAAGCACAATAAAGAAAGTGTTTTCCCACAGCAATTTGGAGGAAACAGAAAATATAGGCTGGAGTCTCCATAAGGAGCCTGACTACCTAACTCACACTGTCTACAGCCAAGGATGTCTTAGGTTTATGAAGGCAGACTCTGATCCCTGTATGTCCAATGCCAGTGAGTATAACATTCTAAGTATTGCCTCTAAGTAGCACAAAGCTATGTACAAAGTGTGGCTGGAAATTTTCAAAACTCAATTTGTTTTTTATTTTGTACTGACTTTAAGAGGAACCTTTTTGTAGTCACCTGTTTATTTAAAAAATTCTTAGATTACCTACATTGAACAAATCAAAGCAGGTACTAGTTTGCTTTCAGAAAAGCCAATATACTTAGCATTAGAGCTGTAGTCATGTTGGATAGAGTATTTAATTATATTTTTTCCATCTTTGCATAATTCCAAGCTTCAGCTGAAAACAGAACATCATTTACCTTTTTGTTAAAAGGTCCAAAGAGTTACTCAAACACATTTTTTCAAACTCCATACAATAGGGATAAAAACAGCTTCTAGCGCAGATATTTTGTTCCAGCAAAGAGTTACTGTTGCTACAGCACAACTAAAAATGGTGATAGCCATGACTACACAAGTAGAGGACCAAACTAAATCTGGCTTACAACACACAGAAAAGTTCATAACACTAAGTTTCGAAACATTTTGCTGTTCAAAAACAAAAAACTTGAAATGCAGTAATAAAGTAGTTGACTATTGTTCTACAAATTCTTGCAATTTACTCCCACTTATTTACACAAAAAGTAGTCTAGGGAGAGAAAGGAGAATAGAGAAGCTTTTCCCTCCACATCCTCACATTTTCACCTTAAGAACTTTGTATGTGTTAGTGTGACCTCATGTCAGCATCCATTTAGTTTCTGCAACAGTAGTGTGCACCATTTAGAAGTGGTACCATGGAATTGCCAATTCCGCATAACTTGTCTTAAGAAAAGGTTACATATTACTACTTCCTTTTGCTCTGAAACTTAGGAATTAAGTTTTATTAACAGTAGCTCTGTCCTGAAGCGTTCTTTGAAGAGGTAAAGAGGTTTAACACACATATCAAGCCAAAGGAAAAGCTATATCACTGACCCCACCCCTCCAAACCACCAGTTCTTGCTATATTTTGCTCACTTTTGAGTGAACCACTGCACACTGTCCCCATAAGGTTCAGAAAGCTCCCTATGAACATTAAGAGATTTAAATGGCTGTTCAAAGAAGGCTTTATGACTACAAGAAAGTTGACAACCAGAGGTCACAGCACGTCTCGGCATCCAAAACTGTTTTGTCATCTTCCTCAGTTTAATTTTATAACCCCTTACGTACAGGCACTTACCCGCTTACACAACACTTGTCTCACAGGTAGCACCAGTTTACCACAGTGCCAATACATCTTCAAAGTCAGTGGCACTGAGAAAGCTACAAGCTGCACAGTGCTCTACAGTAAGTAGAGAAGTCCAAGGAGCAACACAGAATCAGAATTCCTCAAGAGCAACTCCAATACACATAAGCAAAGGGAGCAGATAAACCTTCCCTCATGCTCCACAGCAGGCACCCTTACTCAGACATCATGAGAGCAAGCCACCCTTTCCCTTCATTGCCAATGAGCTAGGGGAAAAGTCCAAAGGATACAGAGGGCATAGCCTAAGCCTGTTGCCTTTCTTTTAAAAGTAGTAGAGGACAGAGGTCAAAGCTGTCTTACTAATCAGGTTCATAGCTAGCTTCTGCTTAGTGACGCTAATCACTAAACAGCACCAAGGAGCAGAGATTCCTAATCAGAGAGTGGAAAGTGACCTCTGCTTTCCTACCATCTAACTGCCTCCATTTTGCCCTTATCCCAATTACATTATGCCCTGAGTCCTCATGACTCACGTTGCCCTAGCTGGGAGGCCAAAGCTGCCTGCAATAAGATGCAAAAAGCTACTTAAACTCTTACAGCTACCACTCGATGGCTCTCAGACAGCAAGCTGGACACTATAGCTTTGCTCTGGTGTTGGCAATAGGGCTATTTGCCTAGTGGCAAAAAGCCAGACACTACTTTCTTCATACCATCTCAAGCCAGATGAGAGCAGAATCCCTTCAGGAAGGCCTACATGGCTTTTGCCAACCTCCATCCTTGCTTCTTTCTGAAAAGCACTAACAGTATGAGTGCTGTATCCATAGAGATCTGTTAAACTCAGTTCATTTATCAAGGGAGGATTAGTTACATATATTTTTATATACTATAAGATATATCTATATATAGATATATCTCAAGAAGCAGCTGATTTTGCAGCCCACAAACAAGTCCAACAGATAGAGAGAAAAAAGCATTCACTATGAAAATCCACGCCTTTTAACTGCTCCTAACCTACAGATTTTCACAGACGAGTATAAAATAAATCAAAGCTGTGCGGAAAATCCCATATTAACAAATACAGTAACACTGTGCTATCTAGAAAATCAGCATTCTTTCTGAAGATATTCTTGAAGTCATCCTTGATAATACACAGTAAAACAGCTAATGGAAAGTGTCATTTAAGAAGGATTGAGGTCTTTTCCCCTCATAAAGGCACTTTTTGTGTAAACTGTTCTTTCAACATTGACCCAAACATCTGCATTAACAAACAGCAGGCCTGCTAGATAACACTCTTCCTTAGTAATGACAGGAAACATCTGTTCACCTAGCTAACCAAACACTACCACTCTCATGTCTTATATCTTTTACTCCTTGTTTCAATGCATGTTGCTTGGGTTGCCAGATTGCAAGAACATGGCATTAATTATACCAGCCAACACCTTACGCACACATGTGTGTATACACACACACCCCCACACACCCCTCAACATCCTGAAGAAAATTCCAACTTGGTCTGCTTAATTGAAGACCAACATTGCCTTGCACACACAGCAACACAAGCTTGTAAACTTCATGGTTGTTCCTGTCCTGTTAGACTTCCTTTTTCCTGTCTTCCTTCACAGTCTACGCTTTCTTACATTACACTTAGTCTTGTCATTGTTAGGACTAGAAGTTACTACTTTTCAAGAGAAAACACTCTCTTGGAGTGTTTTGGAGTGGAGCTCCATGGAGTAGTGGACAGCTACTTCTGTACTGATCTCACACTAGATTTAATGGGGTAAGTCTTGTGTCCAAGATCATTGAATTAGGTCCGTATATCCCAAAGTTCAACAGCCTTACTAGTGCTGCAAATGAACAGCAGCTCAGAGCTCCCTGCTCTCACTGCTGATGATTCTAAGAGCCGATCCCTTGCTGCTGCTGCTGGCTCCCTGCTTATGCTTCTCCCCAGACAGCTACCTGGACCCCAGTGCCCCGGCCAGCCACCAACCCAGCTGCCCCGGCCAGAGGCAGAACTTACCCTGCTGAAGCCAGGCCTAGGCAGGGACAGGGGCCAGTGGAGAGGGATCGGGGTCCTCCCAGCTCCTCTTGCCCCAGGGCTGCCTCCGGGAAGAGGGAGAAGGGGAGGAGAGCTCCCTACCTGACCTGGTTGTCACGAAACTTGCTCTGCTGGGGCTGGTTCACGTAAATGGTGCGGGCTGGTGCCTCGTCCAGATCCGCTGAGGACGTGGCTCCGGACATCTCATCATCCGCCTTCTTATAGCCTGAGGGGGAACAGACGGGTCCTGCAGGGGAGAGCAGAGGTCAGCGATGGGGGCCGCAGCACGGAGCCCCCGGCCCAGCCCGGCCACCCCCTCTCTCCCTCCATCCCTCCCGGCGCCGAGCCGAGCGGAGCCCGCAGCACCCACCGGCAGGCCCCCGGGGGGCCGGCCGGGGGGGGGGCGGCGCACGG